AAAATATTTTTTTTTTACATTTAATCGTATGTGCTTAAACTGCTAAATGATATAAACATAGAAACGCAAGCAGAAGAATCTTGCTTCCACATTCTGCATATGCGCTTAACATTTTTGTTTAAACAAATTTGTCGAAATTTCATCTCTAAAGCAAATATTAAATATCATTTAATATACACTTTAGATTTAAATAATCATTTTTAGTGGTGGGCGAGTCCGAGATATTTAAATGATCGAGATAGTACATTCAATTCGCGTAGATTTTTGAGAACTTTTTTCGTTGAAGGTGTTGCACTTTTCTCCATACTGAAATTTGTGTACATCATTTATCATTGTCTAAGAAAAACTATAAAATAAAGCTTAATTTAAAATATTGGAATAAAAAACAACAACGCTACACGCGCATTCATCCATATAACATACAAGTAATATTTAGCGAAAAAAACCGACTTAAAAAAAATTTATATATATCTATATATTTCATTATCCAATGATGGGATCTAAGCCAAATTAGTATGGGACCACCTCTGAAACCTCCGTTGCAAAAAGAATTATTGAAATCGGTTGACGTGGTGCAAAATTATGCGGTAACATACAAAAAAAAAAAAATCAAAATAAATATTCCGACGAACTGATAACCTCCTCCTTTTGTGGAAGTCGGTTAAAAATTCGAACGTTCGTTATATGGAAGAAAGTGCGCAACACCGCAAACAAATCAAAACATCAAAAAATCAATGCTATTTTCTAGACACTTCAAACTTGCACCTTATTATACTAGAATCAATGGGCTACAAAATTGTTAACCCAAAACATGTCTACAAATACTGAATAAAGACTGTGAAAATTTGATGAAGCTTTGTTGATTTTTTTCATTCTTTCAAGTTTCGATTTATTTGCCAGGTTTTTGTTTGATAATGAGCTACAATTTTATAAAAAGAAAATAATTAAATTATTTAAAAAAATAAAATAAATACTGGGTGACCGTGTAATTCTGTCAAAGATGAAGACAATGATGATAAAACATTAATACACTATATAGCTCAGTTCATATTAATGAACATAAAATTAGATCACTATCGATAAAATGGAAATCCTCAAGGGAAATTTATAATTTCAACGCATGGAATTTACATATATTTTTTTACTTTCAACCCCCGAATTGCTCAATTACTTCTATTTCTGCAGGATCGCCATTAGGTAAATTGCATTTCCAAAGATTTTTTTTTAAATAAATAGCGATGAGGGATATTTCACCCGCCGGTGATAAGAAATCGCAATCACCATAACGCACATCACTAATATTACTGTTCACAATCACGTTTACATTCGAAATTACAATTCATAATTTCGTTTTGTAGCAAATATGAAATATAGGTATATCCATTTATTTAAATGTAAACGGATTAAGAATCAAAGTGCTAGAATAGATTTGAGCGTTTGGTACAAAAAGTATCTTTGATGTTGAAATTGTACTTAAAATCGGCAAATTGCACTTTTGTACATTTAAAAATAATTGTACTGAAAAAAGTACAATTGTACTTAAAATATCAACACTGTTTCACTGGCGCTGTACTTGCTGCAGCGATGCCAGATTTGAGCGTTCCCAATTTTTTACCGATAATAACTCATGCGAGGGATTTGGGTATAGGGCATTTTACAAGCCTATTAGGAAGTATACATATCTGTGTTCGTATAGAATAGTAGCTTATGTCGGAAGACTGGCTTTAGTATAATGAACCATTCGCAGCATACGATTGCGAAAGACTCACTGGCGCGGAGTCGTTGAAGAACTCTTGGAAAATAAACGTAAAAGACGGTAATCTTAATGGCGATGCTAGCAAGTCAATATTCGTATAAAGTTTCATAAAAAAATTCCTTGTGGTACATTTTACTAAAGCCAGCCTCCCAGAAATATATTCGTCTACAAATAATGTTGATTATTTTAATTTAGTCCTAAGATAAGTTTGCGAATCGTATCAGTGTTCTATGTAAGAATCAAAAATCAATACCCTCGCCAATTAGAACTTTTGCTTTAAAAGAAAAATATGCATAGTCCATTTACTCAATACTTGGTCTGGCATCACTGTTTGAGCATTGATGTGCTCAGCACACTGTTGCCAAGGTCGTGCATTTTGCACTAAATTTAGTGCCTTTGGGAAACCAAAAAGCCAAAATAATTGGAATTCAATGCATGGTGCGGTATTTAGTGATGCTTTTTTAATTTTAGCACACCGAATGCGTAGGTACATATGTATGTATGTATACACTATACACTAATATTCTACATTAAGATGGAACTCCATTTACTGAATAAAATGCGAGGAATAGGTAAATTAAATATGTTTTACGTTGTTATAAATGTATTGAAATTAATTTATTAATAAACGTGAGGAAATGGATATGTATATACACTTTTTACTGAATCAAAAATATTTTGGCGCTTTTGTTTTGGAAAAATTGGCTTTTTCTGGTGGCCTGATGCCACACTGGCTCAGTTGTCGCAAAAGTACACATCCATACACGCATTTTTACTTGAAAATAAGTGTGTAGTGGTTAATGTGCACGATCCAGAAAATAAAGGTCGCGCCATTCGCGGACCGCTAACCCTCTCTTCGTCGATTTGACAGCATCCACCCAATCGCTGACGTCATAAAATACTTTTGTTTACATTCACTGTTGCCAACTTGATGCTTTTCGCACCAAATTTAGTGGGTATTCAAAACGCGAAAATTTTTGAGTTTTGTGCTTGGTGCGTTTTTGGTGCTTTTGTTTTTAGTTTGAAGACACCAAATTAGAAAATCTTAAAAAAATTGAAGCAAAATTTATAGCAATCGTAAATGTGGTAAGCAATTTTACAAAAATTTAAACAAAATCATGGCACAGTGACAATCATAAGTGACAAAGAAATATGTGGCAGCACCTTCAACCATGCCAGAAGAAATCGACCGTTGTGCAAGAAACATTGATTTTTGAATCGGCATCCTTACAATAAAATTATGTATTCATATAAAGTCCATTAAATACACCAATAAAAATTTGGTGCTTTTTCAAAGTCGAAACTTGGCAACACTGCCTTTTGGTCGATGCTTCTCTTTTTCTTGTCGAGTTCGTCTTGTTCTCTCATTCTGGTATTTTTTGACGTCACGGCCAGTTGCTCTCAGCTCGATTGGCGCAATCTTGTATTCTATCATTCTTGGTTAATGATGTATACGATGCCATCTCCGTACAGCTCACTTCACCTCGCCTAGCACGCTCGCGTGCGCGCAGTTTGCCTCGCGACGTCGACTGCGTGCACCTCGCTACGTGCATCCCTACACTAGCAGTAAAAATTGCGAGCGTAAAACGATTTGTGAGCAGAGTTGCCAGATGTGCGGATTTCGCCCCATTTTGGGGATTTCTGAAACCATTTGGGGATAGAATTTTTTCGTTTGGGGATGTGGGGATTTGATTTTTTGTTTGGTTTAAAATATTGATATTGAAATTAAAATACATATATTTTACTGCCAGCCCTTAAAAATTTCTCAAACAAAGATTTTCTTTGTTGTTATTTCCGATGGTTTGTATATGTTTAATAAATTTCCTTGATAGGCACTAGAGATAATCAGATCGGACTAGACTATCAAGGAAATTTATTAAAGATTTTCTTTGTCAAAGCATTATTCGTGGAAAATGCCTGCTTTAATTGGCCTTCGCTGAACACAAAATTTTCTCTCACTTCATTACACCAAATTGTAAAAGGATCGCTGTGATTGGCATTTACCGAATGAACTGCATATATTTCTGATTTCCTTAGTGTAAAACGAATTTTACAAAGTGGCAAGCGCACAAAAAGAATTTGACGAACTTACAGACAGCAATGGGAATAGGAACCTTGGGTCGAAGGTATGTTGTTAAACAGTCTCCAAAAACTATAAAAGATAAGAAACCGCTATACGTAAATAACCAAATGATCTCATATATATGTACATATATACATCTGTGAAAATTTGTAATATAAAAGTATTCAAACTGTAATTAAAACGAACTAACAGAAATGAGAATACATATATTTTTATTTCTTACTTACGGGGATTTAAATGGGGATTTAGAAGAAAAATGGGGATTTTTTGGGGATAACTGCGGCTCGATATGGGGATGTACTATACAAAAATTCTGGCAACACTGTTTGTGAGGGTGAAGAGGAACGAAAGGGAGGTAAAACAAACGCTCAAAAATTGCACACCACGTCGTTCATTTGATTGACTTCGCCAACCTACCTATTTCAGGGGGTCTACTCTGTATTGCGATTCGAAAAGCACTTCATTCAGATTTGAATACTTGACACTATGAATTTGTATTAAGGTCTGATTATGGTGACTTGACTTAACTTAACGTAACTTAGATCTTAGAAAACCAAAATGAAACATACTTCGACGTGGCATTAAGTTACGTTAAGTTTCGACTGTCCAAATATAAGCAACATCTATTAAAGAGAATTTTTAAGTGGCAGCCTCTGAGTTACGTTAAGTTGCCATAATCAGAGCTTTAGTCCGTGTCGCCTTTCGAATCCCCTTGAGTTTCGAATCGCAATATAGAGTAGATCGCCGAGATGTGTTTTCCCCGTGTTGGAATGAAAATTACAAAATAAGACAGAATTGTTTTCACAGCCAATCAAAAAAAAAAAAAAAAAAATGATGGTAAAATAACCGAGTCTTTTGTTAATCTAAAATATTTTTTACGAAAAACGAAACACGGCTTGAGAAATTTTATAAATTTTACACATCTGCACGGAACAAATGACAGTTTGTTTAGCACTTCAGTTAGAACACATGTAGGTTAACCAAAAATGTCAATAACAACAAATCTCAAGAGGCAGTTCTGTGTTTCTGTGCTGAAAATTCTGTATTAAATCCATTAAATTAAAGAATGTTGCAAATTTTCAACCAATGGTTGTTTCAAGTAGAGGGTTAAATTTCATGATACTAATTTGTTTTTTACCTCCAATTAAATGTAACAGTATAATGTTGAAGGTTATGGATGAAATAGGTAGGTAAATGACGCTTGTAGTTTTAATGTAGGTAGATTATTAGATAATTTATAAACAGAAAAAACCCGACGCCAAAAATTTTTTCCTTTTTTAACAAGCGTGGAATACTGTCCCATATTTATGTCAAAAAGTTAATTGATTGGACCATACTGAAAATATTTGGTATTAACAATTAGAAATCAAGGAGTTTTTCAATATTTGAAAAATGTTTGGATCACAGAGCCTGTAAATTTTAATTTCATACTAATAAATAATATTCAAACACCTTTCATATGGTACCCATCTCTTAATATTTCATTTAATTTTAAAAATTTTATCTTAACTTTTTAGATTGGTGATAATCAGGGAACGGATTTTATATAAATCTACTTTTTTTATGCTAAAGAGATGGAGTATATTCGATTAAGAATGCCCACGATTTAGCTTTCCCTAATTCCATATTTACACATTTAAGTTCATTCAAGGCTTTTCTTCGCGAAAATCGTATGAAAATGCTGCCAGCAAAATTCAAAATGCATATTGTGGTTCAATGTTACTACAAATTTTTTAAATATTTTCAAAGACTAATGGTCTTATTCATAAAAAATAAAGTAGCTTTAAAAAAGGTTTATAAACTGAAAAATGTATGAAAACGTCAATTTATAGAGCTCTTTAAACTTACTTTATTTTTTATGAATAAGGCCATAAAAGTAGAAATTTTTCAATGCTATTGGGTGTGGAGCTTTTTGGCCGGTTATATTGAATAAAACAAGTGTTTTCTTCTTCTCCTACGCGTTTCGACGCATATTCGCGTCTTCTTCAGGGAGTCTATATATTTATAAATACGAAAAACATAATAATAACGAATAGCTATTATAAGGAGCAAATAAGACAATACAAAAACATTTTTCATAAAGAAACTAGTTCATAGTGTTTCTCCTTTTACTTGTAAAATAAACATTTAGGTATAAAATAAACGTATTTTTTGATTATTTTTCTGTTTTTGTCTTTTTTATTGCCTCCTTTTGCCTTTTTTGGGATTTCTAGTGCTTTTTCCTGCCTACTTCGCTATTTGATTTTGCCTTTTTTATAGGTTTTTAGGTCCTAAAAATCCGTCGCCTGGCGATAATGCAAATTAAGATTTTGAAGATTTCTTAAATACCTTTCGTTTGATATCAAAACTATAATATTTAATATATCTCATCAATATAATTGAATTAAATTTTTTTCAAATAAGTGGCAACCCTCTTGAAAAATATTTTCTAAACCAAGCTTTCTTAAACATTTAATTTAACTTATCAATTTAATTGAATTAAATTTTTGAAACAGATGTCAACACTCTTTAAACAAATTTTTGAAATTAAGCTTAAGCCGCTTTAGTTTGATACTTGTATTGTAATATGTTATTTATCTTATCAATTTAATCTAATTAAAATTTTGAAACAACCTTCTTGAAAAGTTTTTTCCATGAAGCTTCCTTAAACATATCGAAATTGTAACCTGATATCCAATTGAAATACATATGTATTTCATATAACTTAATCATGTTCCATATACGTTTTAACAAACCGTGAAAATTTTATAATCTTATAGAACTTGGAGGCGTTTTTCAATGAAAACTATTGTGGAAAAACAACAATAATTTATAAGTGGTAGAAGTTATAGCTGCTATTTTGGAGATCACCACATCTCTTCAACAGACTTCTTCACGGCCTCAAGCCCAATAAAATTGTTGAATATAATTGTTATAAGGCCATAAATAACAAAAACAAACAGTGACAATTTCATCAAAATCGGTTCAGTGGTTCGAACAACTTAGAAAAAACTTGTACCGGTAGAAGAGCCGGTACATGAAAATTATGAAATTATGAATTATTATGAAAATTCTGCAAAGTTTCATCTAAATTGCGAATTATTAATAAAAAAGTTAAGTTTTAAGTTGATTTTTGGCATTTTTTCTTTCATACAACGTATGTGCGAATTTTTTTTTAGTGTGTGGAAGAAAATGCGTAATACCCTAAACAAAAAAATATTTAAAATCAATGCAATTTAAACGAAATTGGAAAAATTTTCATAAACTCCTTTAAGGTTTTGGCAACTCGTGAGTCTAGTCGAGTAGACCAATACAGCATACTCAGAATTTTTAATTGACACTCAAAATGTTGGCTTAATGTTGAAACCCTCATTTTCGGTATGTTGGAGCTTAAACCAGGCCTTGACTTTACTTAAAGAAACAAGTATACCTATGGTCAAAATAATTGGAGTGCGACATGTGAATAATTGTTTTGTTGGTTTAATGTTCTTTTGTTTTTTATAAAAGTAAAGCTCGTTATATAACGACAACCATATGAATCCAAATTGAAAGCTTTGTACGAAAATTAGAAAAAAATCTAAAAATTTCAACAAATTGCGTCAAAGTATAAAATTTTGTAATCAGAACTAAAAAAATCGCAATGCGCAGTTTATGGCTCATTCTATTTTAGTGTAATGTGTTAAGTGCAGGTTTGAATTATTTTAAAATTCGCATGGATTTTTGGAATTTTTTCTGGCGTTGTTAAGTATTTTGTTCCATTTTAAAGTATTTCAATCATTCTTTATAGGGGCGAAATTACGTAGTTGCCATCAAAGAAAAAAATGCAGTTTTACCATATGGGTTTCATTTTTAGGCAAGGATGTGTATTACAAAGCATGAAAAATGCTATAGTGGATTTTGAACCGAACCGAACCATTTTTATTACCTTCCTTTTATTAACTCGGGATGTAACTATGTAATATTGATGCGCCTAAAAGATGCAGGGATTTCTATTCCCAAGTTACATACCTGATGACAGTACGAATGGCAATTATAATAGGGAGGTTTTAGTTTTTTAAACTAAACTGGTTTTCGGTTCGGTTTTGGCATTTCAAATTAAAAACGGTTCGGTTCGTGGTTCGGTTCGAAACCCGCAAAAAGCAACGGTTCGATTCAAAAACCGGTTTGGTTCAAAACCGGTTTGCAGCCCTATTTTTGAGTAAATGTGTTACATCACTTTTGCAACTTTACTTTATATAAAAGATTTATAATTCCAATGAAAAAAACAGTACCGATTTATTGTATGGAAAATGATGCAGCCTAATTTACATCCATACACATAAATTCAAGGCCGTATATTTTATTTAATGAAAAAAATAAGAGCCACCCTGATGTACATACATACATATGGGTCATTCCATGCACATGTACACCTCAACATTTTTTTTGCATTACTTATCCAAAAAAGAACACCTAATTTTTTATTTCATCGTGATATTCGAAAATCTCAAAAAAAAAAATCCGAAGTTTTGAACTCACAGAGAAGTATATTTTTTTCAAATTTTTGCAGTTAATAAACTATTTTTGGCGAAAATCAGTTAAGTAATCAAAATGAGCGTAATTAACTCGGTTTTCCATTAGAGTGTAAGATAGATTTAAATATATAATTTTTTGCATTAAAAACTTGCATTTATTGTATTTTTGTTTATTAATTATACAACATATGATTTTTGCTTTTTTGCAGTCTGATAAGTTGTCAAACTTTATGGAGGACACTGCAAAAATTTGAGTTTTGTCATGCCTGGGTACATGAAGTTTCAGCAGGTAGGCATGCGCTGTCAGTGCTACTTTGTGTACATACGTACGCAGGCATGAAAAAACTTGTAACTTCTACAGTTTTGGTTTTTCCATTCTAAAGTTTTTACAATGTACTCCATAAAGTCTGGCAACTATTTAGATTTCAAAAAAAGCACAAATAGGACGGTGTATAATTAATAAAAAAATAAAAACTAAAATAAAAAATATTTTGCCCAAAAATATTGAGTTATAAATTTTGCATGAAATGACCCATACATATGTATTTATGTATCCATACTAATAAATAAATAAGTGCCGTTGGGGCAAAACATTACTTTTCCAATGTACTTGTATGATGGGTATCCACAGATGCGATTGGCTTGTGTTTAATATAACCGTTTGCACTGCAAAGAAGACTAGACATATTTTATTTTAAAGCGTCTGTGAAAGCCAATATTAGATTTAAATTATATTAAGAAATGTTTTTTAGATAAATAATTGCAAAAAATGCGTTTTTTAAAGTGTTTTAATATTGCTATTAGCGCATACGTTCTGATTTATTCTTTGCACTACAAAGTAAGTGGATTTTCAGTGGTAAAAATAAAAAGAGAAGCGCTAACAAAATATGGTGAAATATCTACTCCCACGGCCAATCCAACTGAGGCGTCCGTTTTTACCACAGCTAATTTCGAAGATGAAGAAGATGAAGCTACCACCGTCTGGGAGACGGATGTTAATGGAATCACAGGTAAGAATACATTGTATATAGTAGATGCTTTCCATTTCCAGACAACCGGTCAGGTACGAGCATGATTTTTAATTTCGACCAAACTCAAATACATTGTTTGTTGGTCCAAATAATGAGACACGTATTTTTTCTTTTGGCTCGGAAAAATTTTTCGGCCGAATTAAACGCGATTTTGTTTTTCAGGCAAAAATCGATTATTCGAATTGACAGTGAGAATGTTTTTTTAAAATGCCCATAACTTTGTCAAAATTTAATAGATTCCAACAATGTTTTTACTCAAATGTCAGTAATTATAAAAAGCGGGAAAGTGTGATTTTGTTTTTCGAAACTGTATGTTGGAAAGTGTGTTCTTATATCTATTTGATACACAAAAAATGATCACGGCTGTACTTTTTGCTGATATATTACATACATATGTTCCATTTAGTTAAACAATATAAGAATATTGTAGTATGTACCACAAAAACGTATATTTTCTATAAAAAATCATAACTCAGAAAAAAAAAATCTTCGCTATTAGAGATTTGGGTTGATTGTAGTTCAAAGTGTCTCTTTCCCGGTAAAAAAGTTTGAGAAAAAAAAAATACACTTTTTGAGAAATTAAATTTAAAAAAAAATTTGCACTTTTTGTTTATTGTTAAATAAAAAATTTTAAATAATGAAAATCAATAATTATATCATTCTATCTTGAAGTGACAAGAATTACTGACATTTGAGTAAAAACATTGTTGGAATCTATTAAATTTTGACAAAGTTATGGGCATTTTAAAAAAACATTCTCACTGTCAATTCGAATAATCGATTTTTGCCTGAAAAACAAAATCGCGTTTAATTCGGCCGAAAAATTTTTCCGAGCCAAAAGAAAAAATACGTGTCTCATTATTTGGACCAACAAACAATGTATTTGAGTTTGGTCGAAATTAAAAATCATGCTCGTACCTGACCGGTTGTCTGGAAATGGAAAGCATCAGTAGTATATAATTGCACAATTTTCACATCAATTAAATTTAACCTCTAAATCAAAACTAAGGAGTGGATTCGCCAACTGGTCTCCTCAATTTTATAAGATATCCCACTGAAATTCGGTGCGCGTTCGTATTTCTATAATTTATCAATCATTTGGCCGAGTCGACAAGATCAGACCACCTAAACATATTGATCTATACCGCTGATTGTTCAGATATGTGAGTTTGCGTTTTACCTTAAACACTTAAGCTTCAACTTTTGCATGCTCAATATTGACATCGAAGCATCACAAAATTTGTAGCACAGTTTGTGTTCTAAGGGCGTGTGTGGATCTGTAACAAAGTTCTGTGGGGAAAGCTGGCGAATAATATTTTTACTATGGGTCAACAGTTTTGCCAATCTGCTGTGTGAAATGAAATCTTTTTGACAACAGTCAATTTTTCTCAACCGCAGAATAAAATATTATAAAATGAACTGAAATTAATATTTTAAGAAAACATCTACCATTATTGATTGCAGTTCATCAATTTAAGCTTTTAATGAATTCAATTTAATCAAGCGTTTAATAAAGCGTTTGAAACATAAAAGAAATTTATTTACCAGCAATATTTAATGTAGTGTAATACCATTTTATTTTTTTTTGCTTAAGTTGTATATGCAGTTGTCAAAAATTTCACTAGCCTCATGAGCTAGTGAAGATGTATTCACCTCATACTTGTCGAAAATTTAATCACAGCGAACTTTGTTACCGATTCACACGCGCATATGATACATTAAAATTTTGAGTTTTTTAATCCGATTCATAGTGTAATAAGCAAAGTGAAACCATTTATTTTTTATACGCTTATATGACAACGGTTTTGTCATTGCGTTTAACCATTTGAAACTAGCAACATTATAAATTAATTTTAAAATAAAAAAACTTTGATTTCAAATCAAAAAATAATTGTTTTAGAAATTAAAGAACAAAAAGAAACAATTTCGTATAAAATGCCAGACACTTGCTGTTTATGCAGAAGCACCCACAACAGTGAGGTAGGTACATATGTCTCGTGTGCCAACAGATGTTACGCCATGAAGGGATTGGATGAATGCGTGTGGTGTTAAACTAACTGGATCATCGAAAGTTTGCGCTCTGCACTTCAAATCGAATGATATCATTTATGCAAGTATTAATGCCAAAAAAAGACTCCTCGATCCAGATGCAGTACCATCAAAGATGTTACCTGCTATTTCATCAGATGAGAGGTAATGATCAAAGTGTTGGTATGTTCTCAAATGCATTAGTGCAAAGGCATATCGTGAAAATAAGTCCAATAACTACAGCCACAATGCGCCAAACAGATGTGAAGTATCGCATAAAATTTATACTTTCGCCAATTTAGTAATAATAGATGGTCCTGATTTGCAGTAATTAATTTGAGAAAGAATCCTTAATCTTAATGTGTATATATATACATATCGTCGTTTGAAGTGCAAAACCGCCTATCGTCTTTTTGCAAAACCGCGTAACTGACATTTGTGCCAAAAATTAGATTTGCTCGTAGGAAGCTCCAGGCATAAAGCCTTATCTATTCATACCAATATATCGATATTAGACCATGTACTGCAAAATAACAGCATAGTTTCAATACCGCTGATCAAGAGTAGCATATATTTTTACTCTCTCCTGTAAAATCTTGGTGATATTACATACGCGGTTTTGCATAATCGTGATTCGCGGTTTTGTACTTTAAACGACGATATATTGGGAAATCTTTTGAGATGGCGACATTCTGCGTACTGACATTATGTTTCCGGGACAAAGTAGCTGCACTGCCAAGTGAGGTTTTTGTACCTTCGTCAATACTATTTATATGTGAAAATATCAGTAAATAGTTATTCACAAACAAAACATACGGTTTAATAACTAATTTATTCGCTAAAATCAGGAAATTTCTAGTGCAACTCGCATAAGTTCTTAAAAAAAAAAAAAATATTGAAAATATTGTAAAACACCCTATCACAGAATTTGCTTGAAGAACGCACTATCTCAGGATTCTCTTCCAAACCAAAGCCGGAAGAGGGTTAATGTAAACAAATAAACGAATTGTTTACATTTAAATTTTCAAATAAGCGTACGTCAAATATTGATTTCACTTTGTTTATTACATTATGATCTGATTTTACAGATAAATCAAACTTTATTCAGAGGTTAGAAAAAGTTTTCAAAATTTATTTAGAATTTTGAGCTTTATAATCTGATTTTTTAGAATTTTTTCGCGTGTGCAGTAATGGAGTGTGTAGCCCATTAAATTTTGGTATAATAAAGTGCAAGTTTTTTAGCGGCTTCAAAATCGCGCTGATTTTTAATATTTTTTTTTTTTGCTGACGGCATTTGCGATCTTTCCATATAACAAATGGAATTTATAAAAACTGGCGTTGATTGTTTTAATTTTCTTTGCAAACGCTGTTGCGCATTTTTTTCCATAAGAAATTCATGCTTATATCGAAAAAAAGGTGCAAAAACCCGTCACAAAAAAAAAAAAATCAAAAATCCACGCGATTTTGCAGACGCTTAAAACTTGCACTTTATTATACTAAAATTTAACCATGAACCATATTTTTATAAAAAAATTAAATTTTATGAGCCATAAAACTGTATTTTGCTTTCTGTGAACGTCAGACAATATTTGGCTGTTCGATGTACTTGAGACTATTTATACATCGAGTGCAAAATTTTCGATGTGTTTTTGACATCCCTAGCACTTTTTCAAAGTAATGACATGTCCGCTTTCATGATTCAATAATAAAACCTTTAATTATTGAATCATGGTCGGCTTTAACATTGTTTACATTATATTTTAATACAGAAATATGTAATTAATTATTTTGAATTGTTCTGACAAAAGTTATATTACTGGAAAAATTTATAACCCGAAATATTTTCCCGAGTTTTGGTCATGACAGCAATGCATTGGAAATAGAAACCTTTTCTAGCACGCAAAACAGTGGTGAAGGGTAGCATTTTCTCCTGAAAGTAGGTGTTGGAGGAAGCAATTCCCAGTTTTATAATCTTGTTTTGCAATTACAGGAAGAACTTTTTTTACGAAACCCCAAATTTCCAGAAAGGAAAATAGAGAAAGAGTAAGAAAGAAAAAACAAGTAATTAAAAAAATAAACAGCTTAAATAGAAGAACTATTGAAAAAGAAATGACAGCTTCTTTGAAGAGAATTGCAAATAAAATAATATTGTAATTTACCAAAACAAAATACATATTATTTACATGTATTGAAAATAAAAATTTATTTTATTAATTGCAAAAACACGTTGTAAGAATGTGTATGCCCGATGACTTCGCTGTTTGCTAGCTTTGCGTTTACAGTCCTTGTACGAAGCATGGTACAAAAAATCCATTTTAGCAGGAAGTTATCAATCCCCAGATTTCTGCGTGACTGCTCTATTGCCTCTAGGCTAACGTTGTTGAACGCTTCTTCTAAATCCAGGATGGCCGCCATCGTATATTGTTTATTTTCCAGCGAAGACAAATATTAAAGTTTTTTGGTTTACAAGGACGAATAGGTATTGAAAATTCACTTTTAAAGAATCTAATTTTTTTAACCTAATGAAGCCAGGAGGACGAAATTCGATAATGTGGTCGTGTGTGTATTAGTTCTCAACATATAATGTTTTCAAATATAATTATTCCAAATGTTCTAGAATATTTGAGGACAAAATTTCACGACAACATTTTCCATACCCAATTATCCTTATGCAACAAAAACTTTAATCTTTTTTAATTCAACAGAACACATTGGTATTCTACATTGCACTGATCTTTTTTAAATCATTTTTTGAATTAATCATATTTTTAACCGACTTCAATAAAAACGAGAAGGTTATAGATTCATCGGAATATACATACATTTTTTTATGTATGTTACCGCATAACTTTGGACTACGTTAACCGACTTCTATAATTATTTTTTAAAGGAAAGTTGTTACCTCAGAGATGGTCCCATACTAATTTGGTTTAAATCCGATCACTGAATCATGAAGGAATTAACGATAATCTTAAAAATTTATATGAGATTTAAAGTCAGTTTTGTTTTTTGTTAAAAAATTACTTGTTGAAATTTCAAAGTCCTTTAAAAAATGTTGACGTCACAGAAAAAAACTAAATACGCAGTTACTATATTTTTCCTATAGTGTTGCGAATACATATATGCATGTATGTATATTGATTTTTTTTAGTGTGTAAAATTTACTGTCGCACGGTATAAGCTTGGTAAGGTAGGGCATATATCCCGTATTCCTCGGACTAAATAAAATAAAAATTCGCTCAGAGCGAGAGAGTAACACTGAAATATACGGGATTGCTTTCTAGTAAAAAGGTAAGTTCTGTCAACTTCAACATAACCTCCAAATTTTGGTTGTAAATTTTTGCTTATTTTGTATGTAAACACACTCAGCCACACATGTAAATAACCAAAAATACTTTCAAATTCATTAGAATCCACTTAAACAAGTAATTAAATGCTTTTCACCATGAATTAGCCGATTGCACTTTTCTTTTATATTTTGGTTGCCAAACACACTACAGCTGATAGTTTGACACATTTACCAGAATTTACCAGCAAACAATTTTCGAACTAAAACTGGTAACTTCTGACAGAGAGAGAACCGTATTTACTCTCTCTTTTGTCCTCTAAATAGTCAGAAAACCGAGTACGGGATCGATTTCCAGTAAAATCTGACGGATTCTGACTATTNCAATTTTCGAACTAAAACTGGTAACTTCTGACAGAGAGAGAACCGTATTTACTCTCTCTTTTGTCCTCTAAATAGTCAGAAAACCGAGTACGGGATCGATTTCCAGTAAAATCTGACGGATTCTGACTATTTCTGACTAATCCGGACTCGTACGGGATCGCAACTAATATACAGAAGTATTTCAAAATTTCAGTTTTGTTGGAAAATGCTATCAAAGTGTGATCAATTCATACAGTTGGTATACAAAACGATAGTTGAAAAGACCTATATCTTCGCCATTTTTGGGAAGTTTCCCCATCTGTTAAGCTGAACAAGTTCTACTTATCAAGCTTATTAATTACATGATGAAATCTCCAACAGCGTAAATTTTGAGTCCATCTCTATATTAGTTGCGTTTTTTCACTCATTTCCAGTAAAATCCGGTAAAAGTTTTTACGAATTTACATGGTTTGGCGTTTTCATACGCAAAAACTTGCAAAGTAGGGGAAATTGAGAGGGCGAAAAATGACAGTTGAATTTGCAAGTTTTTACTGGATTTTACTGGATAAATTTTTACTTATAAGAATTTGCCAGTACGAAAAACAGCTGATCGCATGTTGCTGGATGAAATTTAAACTAATAAGGAAACTGTTTGTGGGTTTTTATTGTTGAATTTGACAAAATAAACCTATTTAAATACCAAATATATTGTTTTATTAGGAATTCACTGCGAATAAACAACCAATTTATCAGCTGTTCATGAAACTTGCAAATTGTTAGTGGAAAAGCGTTCGCGTACTTTATTGCAAATTTTTTCTTTGAGAGCGAATTCTTAGAAATAAAGTTACTGGAGTGTTGCTGGCAAGTTACTGGATAATTTGTAAAAAAACACAACTATTATTAAACGTGCGATATGTAATACTCCTATATTGACAGTAACAGCGAGTACCGTCCGAAAACATTACAGTACGTATGTACACGTACCCTGTAGGGAAAATCTCTAGTTCTGAACTGGTGCGCTTCTAGTACAATTAGACCCAGCACTGGTTCGCGATAAATCTCTTTTGCATGCATACAACTGGCGAATTTAACGTGATGATGTCCTAGGAAGTGTCAATTGCCCAACGCTGCATCCCTTTTTCGATAGTGCCGAACTAGTCCTAAATTCTATAGCTCTGAACCAGCTCTAAAATCTACAGACTAAAGAAAAGATTATCATGGTTTTTCAATCTATTCGGTTCTTCCGTGTGCGATTTTAAACTATATTAAAGAAATGTTTTTTTTCAATTTGCAAATATATTGTTGTTTGAATGGTTGTAAGAATGTACGTTTTCATGCCTTTCGCTGAAGCTGACTTTGCAGAGGTGCTCGCTCTTATTGGTTAGATTCCAGACGGTCCCAAGATGTTAAAATGTTAACACAAACTTTTGTTTTGTATTACCAAACTACGAAAAAGCATCTGCAAAGTGCAGAATGAAAGTGCATTTGAACGAAAAAGCCGCCAAATACATATCTATATAAAGTAAACAAGCCCCCGTTGCATCCCTTTTTCGATAGCTCCGAACTAGTCCTAAATTCGACAGATAAGATCTAGTTCGTTCTGCATCCCTTTTTCTATAATTCCGAACCAGTTCTAAATTCGTCACCTTAGATATAGATTTCTAATGGAAAAAGTTAAATAAATTGTTTTTTTAAGAGAACCACATTTCGCTGATTTTGAACTGGTGGGGATCTAGCTACTATCGGACTGGTTCGTTTTTAGCGATAAAGATCTTGCACGGAACTAGAAATTTTATTCAATAGTCTGTGGTTTCCCTGCAGGGATACGTTTATAAATAAACATGTCCACAACACATGCACAAAAACGCTACACACGTACACAATACAAACACAAAAAACGTTACTTGACTGTCTCTTTTGATTTCGGAAGGCTTACACATTGATGCATTCATATATGAGGTAGAGTAACTAAACTTTAGATATGGGGTTTTGTTATAAAACTCTTTCATTTAGATAGCTAAAATCGTTAAATTTTGCAGCTTAGGTAAATACTTTAAAACTGAATATTTTTGTAAAGCCTTCGGCACAGATGAAGACAGCACTGGCCTTAGTTGTTTGAGTTTAATTGTATCTTTTATAGCACCCACCACTAAGCCTACGTCCAATTTGCTAATAAAATGCGATACTTGCCCGGAAAACGTTGCTTGTGTGCCACAAATTCAATGCCCCGCACACGTGCGTATGATGGACCACGAAAAGCCGCAGATTTGTGATCTTCCTGGTGGTAGTTATGGCTACTGCTGCGTCACTGGACAGAATCACACAGGTAAGGTGAATAACGCTATTTAAAATTTACGTACATAATTTTCTCTTTACTATTTAATGTTAGCAATTCGTCCTGGCATCGAACGTACACCATTCGCTGCTGTCCTTCCTATGTCGGTGGTGGAAGAATCGCGTCAGAAGTTCGAACAACTAATGAAAAATGTGGCTAAGCTGCCAGTTCGACGCGGTCAACCGGAATTTTTGCATAGCATAACCTTTCACTCCAATTCATTCGATGATAAACATAACTTTCATTTGTCTAATTCGGCTGTGCAGCAAATTATTGCAGGCCAATTGATCTCAAAAAAGTTTGTATATTTTGTTTCCTATATTTGTGGTTGTGGTTGCTAATCGCTCTAAGTGTTCAATTAGGGAAGATATTCCTATGGATGACCTCATCACAAACAATGTTCAGGTAGATTTTAGGAAAACTCCGTTGGCACACCACTGCTCTGCACCGCACAAGTGTGCCGATCCGAATGCACGCTACCGTACCTTGGACGGCACCTGCAATAATCCGCTGCCCCATCGTTCGCGCTGGGGTTCAGCTGGTCAGCCAATGGAACGTTTACTACCACCAGCTTATGAAGATGGCATTTGGACGCCGCGTATGCATTCCGTGGACGGATCTGAACTGATGGGTGCCCGCGAAGCGTCACGTCGCCTAATGGCAGATGTATACAGCCCGCATCCAAAGTACAACTTGCTTGTGATGCAGTTTGGTCAGTTCTTAGCTCACGACGTCACACAATCGGCTTCAGTGCGTTTAGGTTGGATGTGCTGAGACTTAGCGTTAATTATTATTTTTTTCTTATTTAAACTAATTTCCTCCCCAGAGAATGGCGAGTTGGTAGAATGCTGTACAGCAAGTGGAGCTCACCCTTTGCCGCCACACAAACGTCACTTTGCCTGCATGCCGATTATAGTGGAGCACGACGATGACTTCTTTAGCACCTTCAATGTGAGCTGCATGAACTTCGTGCGCCTCTCCCTCGCTCCCAATACAGAATGCAAAGTGGGCTATGGCAAGCAACGCAGCAAAGTGACACACTTCATTGATGCTTCCACGGTGTATGGCTCGAATGAGCAATCGATGCGCGAATTACGCGAGTTTCATGGCGGTCGACTTAGTATGTCCAATGACTTTGGTCGCGAGCTGTTGCCATTGATTAGCGACAAAAATGCGTGTGAAAGCGATGATCCTGGCAAGACGTGCTACAAATCGGGTGAGATACTTTGTTGACTTATATATGCATATAATGTGTACAAACACACGTACTATAATATGTATGGATGTATGTGTTATATTTGGCATACCTTCTGTAGGTGATGGACGTACAAATCAAATAATCTCCCTCATTACCTTGCATGTACTCTTTGCCCGCGAGCACAATCGTATCGCTGGCATTCTGGCACGCCTCAATCCTCAGCTAAGCGACGAGATATTGTTCCAAGAAGCGCGGCGAATAGTCATTGCGGAGCTGCAGCATATAACTTATAATGAGTACCTGCCAGCAGTAATTGGACCACTGGAGATGAAGAGATTCCGTTTGGCACCACAACATCATGGCTATGCCAAAGGCTACAACCTCGACGTGAATCCCGCTATTACCAATGAATTTTCGGGGGCAGCTTTTCGAATGGGGCATTCTACTGTTGATGGAAAATTTCATATACACCAGGGTGATAATAAGGTGGATGAAATCATCAACATTCCCGATGTGATGTTTAATCCTTCGCGCATGCGCAAACGATCCTTCTACGATGATATGCTGCGAACCATGTTTACGCAGCCAATGCAAAGAGCTGATAGCTTCATAACGCATGGCGTACGTATGGGTAAATAGACCAATTTCGTTGAATTGCTATGTTTCTTTTTTACAGCTAAGCCGCTTTCTGTTCCGCGGTCATAATCCCTTCGGCTTGGATTTGGCAGCTTTCAATATACAACGAGGCAGAGATCAAGGGCTTCGTAGCTACAATGATTACTTAGAAGTGATGGGGCACAGAAAATTACGCAGCTTTCACGAGTTACCTGAAAATGTGTGATGCTTTATTTGTAATAATAATGAATACATTATAAATCATTTAACTACTTTTTAGACGAGTAAACGGCTCGCTGAAGTTTATCATCATCCTGACGACATTGACCTCTGGGTAGGTGGCTTGTTGGAGAATTCAGTGAAGGATGGTATTGTTGGCAATACGTTTGCCGAAATAATCGCAGATCAATTTTCCCGTTTCAAACATGGCGATAGGTATTTCTATGAATATAGCAAAAAAGTGAATCCGGGCGCATTCACTATTAACCAGCTGCATGAGATACGCAAGGCGACGATGGCTCGACTGATTTGCGATAATGCCGATCACTTGACGTTGATGAAAGTGCCGCCGGCGGCCTTTGTCCGCGCCGATTTCCCCCTGTAAGTTTTGTAACCAAAAGATTATTAAAGGCATCCCTGCAGAAAAAACAAAATACATAGACCGGATATTTAGATATTTAATTCAACTGTCCTATATATACTGTGTTTGCACTTGTACACACTTCCTGTATTGAACTAGCGAATTTAATATGGATCTGCCACAGGAGGTAATGATTTATGGTTCAACTACCCACTGACGGACAGTAATTCTGAACTGGAATTTACTGTTCAAAATTCACTGGAGAATTCCTTTTTTGGCCAATTTGATTATTTTTTTAATGAAAGCTTATAAAAATAGCAAGAGGCCAGTTAAGCCCGATTTTTGAATTTTTATTTGTTTATATTAATTTTTTTAGTGCAAAGTGCAGAAAAAGTAGTAATTGAAAAAATCGGTTATCTTATTCCATTTAATAGATGTTGACAAATAAAAACTAGTTGAAAACAGCTGATGTGTTCCCCAAAACGAAAAAAAAATCACACATAAATTTTGGAATGTTAAAAAAATTTTCACGAAAATTAAAAATTGGTTTTTGAGTTTTTGGAAAATATTCTTGATATCGGTGTTTCCATCGGAAGGTCCACCACGACAAAAAAAAAATAAAAATCTTATATCTAACGTATTTACGGGTCAATTTGTCTGCTTTTTAAAATATATACTGGCTATGTAAGTAAAATCATGTTTGTATAAAATGGTCTTCCTAGGTGGCGCCAAGGTTGAGATATTTCGAAAAACCGTAGTTATGGTCCGATTTGGTTCGAATTTGGCGTATGTAGTTGAAACATAAAGAAGTCATAGATTTCCAACAAATTCACCCTGAATTGGCGCTGAGGTCAAAATATAAAGTATATTCTACATAAAATACATGTTTCATTTGCGTTAAAAATTCATTCTTAAAACAACTACAATTGCTCCAAATCATATTAAAATAAGTTTCATGAAAATAGCCATCCAAAATTCGTAGAGATTTGCGATTTTGTAAGAAAAGAAAAAATCTGCTTCCATTTTTTGTCACGTAACGACACTCTCTTTAAATGCTTATATTCCAGGACCAAACAGTTCGATTGTTTTCATTTTTCGGTTAAATATAGAGCTAATTATGTGCTAAACAATGGCCTAAAAAAGTTAAAGAAAACAAATGGCATTCCTTGTTTGTATCACATTGAAACGTACGACTGTCACGTATGCGACGTATGGAAATACCCATATGCAGTTTTATATGTCGATCATTCAATTTTAGTTTAATGAAGTGCAAGTTGTAAGTGGCGAAGTTAATTTTTTCGCTAACATTTCGAGCACATCTGCATGCTAAATGGAAAATAAAAGCTTTCTCTTTGTCTCGTGTAGTTTATTTATATATTTTATTTATTATTTTTTGTTATATTTTTATTTATTATTCATATATCTTTTGTTAAAAATCATGAATTCATTGATCTATGAAACTGCATACCCAAAATTTTTATAAAACTTAAAACAAAATTTAAGATTGTTGAAAATTTTTTTAATAAATTTTTTTTTGTCACTTTGCTTTTTGTTCAACAATTTTTGTTGAGCTCGAGGCCGTTTTTAATGAAAAACTTATTGTGGAAAAGCAACAATAATTGAAAAAATGGTAGAAGTGATAGCTATTTTGAAAATCACCACATTTCCTCATCAGACTTCTTTCAGTAGGCTTCAAACCGACGATCCCACTGACTCATCCAGTTGCCTATGCACTGTGCTAAGTTCGCCTTGTAACTTATCGTTGCTTTTTTCTACTTATTTTCCTTTTTGGTTTTTTGTTTTCGTAGAAACCCACAATTGTTTTCAATTCTTTTTTATTATGGCTGCGTTTCTTTATACATTCCGGATAATCCCATTTCACAGCCGGAATAAACAGAATCCGTTTGAAATATACGTTAACATATTATCAGGAACGTTCTAAAGAATAAGTAAACAAAAAAGTTTATTTCAAACTTTCAGAATGAATAAAGAAATGCAGCCTATGTAAAATTTTTTAGCTAGAACAAGACAATCGATTTCCAGTGAATTATAAACAGTATCTGGTATTGAACCACTGTGCGACGGAGCGCTGTTGCGTACTTGCCGACCATATCATCTATCAAATTGCCGTTGATAGAGAGAGAGAGAATCTCTATACGGGCAACATACAAGATCTATACATAGAAGGTCACGCAATCCGCGAAATAAAAATTGCCTCTCTGCGCATGTTGTCGCAGGGCGACTTTTTGCTTTCGCTTGAGCATACATATATATGTATGTGTTATAACAAAAATAGTGGACAATTCTTACCCAATTCAGGGAAATTAGTTCCCTTTAATGTGTCCGTCTTTAAAATGGTCCATACGAATTCTCCGCGTTTTCGGTTTAAAAACTTTAGATCGCCGGCAAAACTTCAACCATTTTTCTCGCTGTTTCGGATCCTTTGGGAAACGGAAAAAATATCTTTTTTAAATGGGTCCCTGCGTTGGCTTACAAAATTCCACATCGCACACTGCATTGCAATTTTTATTCTATTTTCTGTTTTTGTCGCCCTTGTCGGCAAGCTGAACAGCTGATTGCCAAATTTTACAAGAGAGGAGTAACGGACCTGCGCAATGCGCAACCTTTAATATATAAACCTTTGGCAACATATGTATATGTAATACTTATATATTGGTGTTATCTTTCCTGCTGTTTGACGGTTTGTCTCCTAAAATGCCACATCAAAAAAATGCATGCAAAAAAAAGTATGTTTGAGTTCATTTTGTTCATATATGAGTTGTGTACATACGTTTACGTTGTGTGTACGTTTATTTTTGAACGTGTGTTCCTTTTTTTGTACGTGTTTACTGATATATCTGTAATGTATGTAATGTAGGGATGTCGGAAGAACATCGATGCATAGAAAATATCGATGTTTTGTTTCGATGCATCGAAAATATGCCACTCGATATGTAAATTGTCGATGTATCGGTGCATCGATGCATCGATGTTTTTCGAAAACTGAGTACATCTCTAGTACATCGTACCGTCATTCCAGTTTTTCAATTGTACAAACAAGAGAAGTGACTTTGAGTTTCCGGTGCAGTAATTTATTTCAAATTTTGTACAATTTTGCTAATAACATATTTTGTTGTGAAACATTATCTGAAAAATCCTATGCAAGTCGATGCATCGAATCAAGGAAAAACATCGATGTATTTTTGCCACTGACACCCCTACTGTAATGTTTTCGGACGATACTAGCTCTTACTGCCAATATAGGAGCATTACATATATGAAATAGATCTAATCTGGCCACAGCTACATTTTTGTATAGTCGCGGTGCTACCGTGTCGTCGCCAAAATAATTGTCTACATAAGAGTATGAGTTAAAATAATTTAGACAGCTGTGGTCTGTAGCCCGTCGTTTCAAATGTGTTTCAAGCTGTACGGTGTTGTGTTTTTGTTAACACCACAATCCCATAAGATAGGGGCCTCCGACTTTAGGTCGGCGGGTAGTTGAACCATTACTCTTTCTTACCTACCTTAGAAAATAGAATATGAAAAACAAAAGGCCGAGCGAACAGCACATTCATTTTCATTGCGACCCGATTCATAACAATTGCATTATTTCCCCTGTAAATAGTAAAATCTTTGCAAGGTATGTAGTGAATTAGTCATCGTTTGGGGAATAAGTTCGCGATTTTTGCAGGGATGTTTATTTATGCATATTATTTATATTATTAAAAACTATAACATTTTAAGACTTCCAACAAAATATTTCAGAAAAATATTAAGATCTACGTGAGCAGAACTGATCTGGATACATGTATACATCTCCAAAAAACTCATTATTTTGACACCGTTTACAAAATTTTTATGCAGTTCACGTAAATCTTAATATTTTTGCAAAATATTTCAGCAGAAGTCTTAAAATATAATACATTTTTGATGGAAAAACAGTACAGATTTTTTTTTTATAGAGAGTGGCTCACCTTAATGTACATATGTACGTCTATTTCTTACATATGCACTTATTTGTTTTCTTTTGTACAGAAATGAGCCGTTGCACTGCGACAGCGTTCAAGTACCCGTCGTCGATCTAACGGCCTGGCGCGTGTGATGCTCGGAATCGTGGGATGGTCTCCTTATTTCATATGTATCTCTCGAGTATATTTTGCTCGTACGTGCGTACGCATTTAATTAAAATAGAAAAATTAAATTTAAGGGTTTTGCTCTTAAATATGTACAAAAATTAAAAGAAATATTCTATATATTAATATCTAACATACATTTTTTGCGTCTTCTTTTGGCGATTCTACTGAACCGATTTCGAAACCAACCATCGTTGGAAAGCTATTTTTCTGAAGATGACGAGAATTGTTATGGTTTCAAAATTAGTTGAGGATTACGGCTGCTATCGCCTTATCCAAATTTTCATGTTGTTCAATTTGAGTTGTGTTTGCTATGCTAGCAGTTAGGGGATTCGCTTAAACTTGTAAAGTCTTAAACCGTGTAAAACTCGTAAGTTTACGAGATCAAGACCAAAACGAACACGAAGACGAATGTGAAGACGGTGACTAAAACGAATATGAAAGCGAATACGAAGTCAAATACACATATCATTTATACCATGATACAAAAAAGAAGGTAGTTTCAATAAACAACTTTTGACGGATAATAAAATTTTTTGAAGTTTCATAAATTGTCAGTATTATCAACGGCCTTGCCACTTTGATAATATTAAAACAATAGATCGGAGTATTTTCTTTCCCATATTTTTACCAATGTGAGAATATTTCAAATCAAAACTCACAATCAGTACTTGATATTTTTTTACTTACGTGGTTTGCCCCTCTTTTATTAAAAATATATAAAATGTAAACTGTTATATTGTAATTATTCTTTTTATTTTATAATAAAAACCATTAGTGCATTATGTTGTTATTTTTTTCATTTTCTTATTTTGATATACAATTTTCGTTTCTTTAATCTTGCGATTTAAAAATCGAATTCTAAAGAATGTTCTTCCCAAATAAAATCTTTTTATAATATTTTGGTCCAAATTTACTTTTAAATTTCTCATCAGATTTTGCAAAAATTTTGGCTTTGTGGTTAGCGAATCACCATTAATTTCAACAAATTTTGAATTCAAAATTTCCAATGTATGCAAAAAACTTGAATTAGGCTTGTACAGACCGCCCTCCGATAAACAGTTAACATACGTATAATTTTGATCACTTTCTACATGCGTCCTGAAGCCTAGTTTTGTCAACCCCATTTTCGAAATTATGTAGCCGGCAAAATTTTCAAGTCCATCATATTCCACATCTTTGAGTGGACTGATGAAATCTTCTGCTTCATGCTCTTCTGCGAGCTACTTAAAAAAATTAGAAATCAAATAAAAACGAAAGGGTAAGGAGTTTACCTCGAGTTCTTCTTCTGCGGATATTTCAATATCGTTAAGTGGTTTGAAAACATTTTCACTGAGCAACTCCTCTTCAAATTTTAACATTACTTCACTTGAAGACTCAACATTTGTTTCCGTGCTCAAAATAGTTTCGTTTCGCCCTAATAAAGTTCATGCATACATTTTAGAATCTTTATGACAACAACAATAATTTCTTTAAGTGGTTAAAAAATTACCTAGAAGGTATGATCGAAATCTGTACTTGAATTCGAGAGGTGACGGATGGTCATGCAGCCCTCCTTTCATATATGTTCAATAACTTCACTAAACTTCACTCATTTTCATACATTTTTGTTTACTTTTACAAAAAAAAAAAAATATTATCTCTGGTGATCAGGTAGCATGAATTTTATGAAATGTCATAATTTTATTAAAAGTCACATGGTTAGCAACAACAACGAATGTCATTAAATGGAACTACCTTCTTTTTTGTATCATGATTTATACGGTATATGATGGAGAAAACTGAGGCGAATACGAATAAAGAGAATAACAAGACAATTCTAGCAAAGATAATTGAAAGTCTTTTGTAAGACATTTGGCAGAGAGTAGGCAAAATGGTTTGAAAGATTTTGCTTATTCTGGCACGTAAGTCTTACAAAAAACAGCTCGCTTGCCAAATTTCATGGTGAAAAGCTCATTTGACAGAAAGCACTTGCACATGTTCTAAAACGAAATGAATAAGTATATATGTATGTATGTATATCGTTTTGTTTTCACTGTGGCAACAGTCGCAATAGCCGAGAGAGCTAACCGCTAACCATTCGAGAGTTCCGATGAGCCAAACCTCGGGAATAGGAATTTTTCATGGCAATTCTGGCTAAGAAAGTAAAAAATCTTTGGTAAGGCAAATGAAAGACAGATATCAAGTTAGTCTGAAAAACCTCCCAATAAAAATTGGGCTTAATTAACAATTCGAAAATGAGTCTCATTTTCGATAACTAATGTGAAATAGGTATGTATTCAATTTGAAAACCAGGCCATTCCCCAGCATAGCGGAACCTTCGTTATCCAATGTATTTTTCCTTCGGTATGAGTTCGAAATCCATCCCCTCGAGAATGGGCTAATGCTCTCTCTTGTTACTATGGCTTTCATGTTTTTTTTTTCTTTTTAGACCCATTTCGAGTGTATTTCCCATATACCTTTCCAATATATGAACCTTGAAAAAATAAAGTTGGTTAGGGGTTCGTTGTCAGTTCGATATGCATATTGGATATCGCAGGTCATTTTCCAACGTTCGCTTCATTGTATAGGCTTACAAGTATGGAAAGCGCCATTTTGTTTGTTTACATTTGAAAACAGCTGAGATCACCTGATTTTCAATTCTCTCATTCTCCGCACAGAGTTACATTCAAGTTTCAGAAAAAACTTTAAAATGTAAATTGAGAAATATTTTAGAAAAATGTGTTTTTATTCATTTGAATTCAATAAAAAAGAAATTAAAAATGCGTGCCAAGTCTTGCATTTCCAATAATAACGATAAATGTGTATGTTCCAGGCAATAATTTAAAATATTTGTGAAACTTATCGTTTGCGCTAAAATACATCAATGTGTGTGAAATTCGTTGTCATTGCTTTTGTTTTGAACATCATATTCGTGCCTGCCGGTGGAA